TTCTATCAGATAGCAATAGAAACACAATGCCCAGAGCCTTTATAGATGATCTTATCCAATCCCCTACTCTCTCAATCAGCCTTCTACAAGTCTGACTGCCCCAGGCAGAAATAATCCCCTCTGCACTGATCTTTGTTTTTATCTTTTCTTGCAAGTTACCCACATTATGAATTAGGAATAGTACATGTGTACACACACACACACACACACACACACACACACACACAACTACTGGGAGGAAAACATCATTCCTTTGAAATGTTAATTTGGGACACTCATGTTTATATACATAGGAGAAGCAATGATGAGTGACCTTATTGCTGAAGCTTAACAATGAGACATTCCAGGTTGCCTTTTCCATTTTGTCATATTACATTTAACTCATTTTATAATACTCTTAATTCAAAACAATATTGAAATTTCTAAGCACTTAAAATGTGAACATAGATACTCTCGTCAAATATAAGATAACATGATATTTGGGGTTTTATTTCATTTAAAAAATTCCCATGAATTTGATTTTTTTAAAGTCCATTTATAACAACACAGGTCTTAAGATTAGAAGAATCTACTTTTGTTTTGAAATTTCCAGCTGCCATGAGAAGTGGTTTCAAAATGTTATGTCATGTCATTTAATGGATGCTTCTTGAGCATAGATAAGGCATTTTAATAGTTGTGGGGGACAAGTGAAGGAGGATGGAGATAGAAAACAGAAGAGGTGGGAGGTTCAGTCCTTGAATGTGACACTTCACTGACTGCTAATATAACTAGTTTTTAAAAATATTCTTTCATATGTAGTGTATTTTGGATTCTCTTTTAAAAATGGTTTCTATATGGGCCTTAATATAATTTTAATAATGGAAGACAATATATTAACAAATGAAATGCTTCTCATTATATTTGAATCAGAATTTTCAAGATATAAGAGAACTTATAGATCACATAATTTAACTCTAAATTTCAAGCTACATTGAATTATTTATTTGTTGGTTCATTTTGTAATAACTCTCAAATGTGAACCAAATGAAAACCATAGGCTTGCATTTGTCTGTACCCTCAGAAGAAAAGTCCACTTTGAGCAGGAGTGCTGGCCATCCCTACCCCTCAGTTTACCAAACCACACAACGTCTGGTTTGTGGGCCACGATTGATGGGTTCACTGTTATGGCTTTAACCCAGTGGTCTTGAGTCAGTAATTTTACTAAATATTACAAGGTTCTGCAGTGGATAGAGTGTCAGCTTGAGGACTGAAGGGTCCCAGGTTCAGTTCCGGTCAAGGGCACATGCCCAAGTTGCAGGCTCGATCCCCAGTGTGGGTGCGCAGGAGGCAGCCTATCAATGACTCTCATTGATGGTTCTATCCCTCCCTTCCTCTCTAAAATAAATAAATATTACATGGTTCATGTTAGAGTGTTTTAATTGCAGTATCAATTCATATCTCAGGATTCATTGCTTGCATATTATCTGGGCAACATTAAATCTATTATGTTACAATCTAATTTATATGCAGAATGCAAGTATCTGAAACTCTAAAACCAACCAGTCACCACTACCAGACTATCTTCAAGATTTTTAAGTATCTACTCACTAAAGTTCTTCATGCTGTTTGCTTTTCAGTTGTTTAATTTGCCTAAGTAGCCAGGTTTCTGGTGTTGTTGTAATCATATGCAATCTTGATTTTATTTTATAGGACTATCTGAATTAAACATACCAAGTGAAACCTAGAATACTTTAATTTGGAGGGAGTAAAAGAAATATAGAGGATTTCACTGTATTCTGTGGTGCAGGAAAATGCAACTGCTCTTATATAACTAACGCTGCCTGAGAGCTAAGAAGGAAACAAGAACTGTCTTTGACCCCCACAATCATGCCAGAGTTCTCAACTGCATCATGACCACTATAAATGAGCAAGAAAAACAGTGTTGGTATGGATTTAGGGGTAATTTGTAATAACAAAAATTGTGGCTACCATGTGCCTACACATACCCAGCACTCACTTTTTCTGATGCAGAATCAGAGGCTTAGACTGAGAGATGAAGCCATGGCCAAGGTCATACAAATAAGGAGCAAGTTCCTGAGGGCAAGGGCTGGGATGGAGCTATCATTCTATGCAGAGAGCCTCCTCTGTGGGTACACTCACTGTTGGTGGGGTACCTGTGTCTTACTTTTAATGTCAAGAGGTTTTCTGTTTAGTTTAAAGTCTGCTCCAGAGAGCTTGTTCTCTCATTCTTGTGTTAGGATGGGGGCAGTTCTTATGAGAGCTTGGTCCAGGAGACAGTTAAAATTATTTTCTAAAGTTATGTTGACATCTTATAATCATTTTTTTTAAGTGGTACATTTATTTTTAAAATGATGACCCTCCCCCAAAAGAGATAATGATCTTTCTTGTGATCCATTCTTTGTCAAATCCTTATTAAGTAACAATAAGGGGGCAAAAGACCATGTTACATAACACAGCAAAATGGGAAGTGTTCCTGTTTTGTTTCTATTCCCTTCTTTAAAAAAACAAACACCTGTCTGGAGTTAGGCCCAGTTTATTTTTTATTTTTTATTTTACCAAAGGTATAGGACACTCTTGGCTTCACTCTCTGAAATAGGGTTTGGCAGCTGTTCACCACAGAGCAACATTACATAACAAGGCAGTTCAAGAAGCAAAAAAGAAAACCACATTGAAAAGAGGCTTTGGTGAGTGGGCTTGCGGTGAGGCAGAATGCACTTTACCAACACAGGAAACAGTCAATGGCAAGGCCGCATGAACAATTATTATGTAAATGCTCAGGGTTTTTCCCACAATAAATCTCTGCACTGTATGCACTTACATATCACAGCAGTGACCTTCTAAGTGAACATTTGTGTGGGAGAGAACTGCTGCCAGAGTCTGAATTCTTCTGGGGATGTTCTTGGAAGCCAAGTAAAAAAAAAACTCTTTAATTGCCACCCTACAGAAACATTTTTAAATAACAGAGTAATTTCAATGGAAAGAGTCAAGTTCTGAGACTTCTGACCTTATCAGCAGCTCTAAAAAATATGTAATGCAACTCACTATCTAACACAAGCTCTTTCCTGAGCATGGTTTTTTTAAACAGTATGCTCAAGCTGCTTTTAATTTTTTAGGTCCAGAGATGAAAGCAGGCTTCTTTTTTTTTTTAAAGATAAATATCTTTAAAACAGTTTGAGTACCAAGCTAAGAGTCACAATTGGCCCCAGAGTCAGCACTTTCTGGCTGTACAAAATATCCTCATTAAAGCCATGTGCTAAATTAAAATAGAGAAATTACTGGAGATGCAACCAAAATATAGAGAATATCTGCTTGCTTATGCAAATCCTTGAAAAGACCTACTCTTTGTCTTTAACCAATACTGACAGAAAGCATGTACAATGAACTTGACTTAGCACTAAAATGGATCCTTAATAGGTCAATCTGTTCCTGCTGAACACACCAGAGGGTACATCTTTGGAAATACTGTATATTTTAAAATCTCAGCTATTTCTAAATAGTATGCTTAGTTTCCTGCTGAAGAACTATTGTCATTTAGGTTCCTAAGCATGAAACAACACATAAACTTTGTATTTGCAAAAGGATTTATTTGGGATCATTTTCCTGATAAACATCCTGTAAGACCAAGTACTCTATCATGCAAGAAACCGAGGCCTAGTAACCTGTATGTGCTATTTAGGTTCATAAATGGAAGATGTGGTTGAGACCTGATACACATACTAAATGGTCTGTTTCATTTTAAATCAAAGATACCGGCTGAAAGGCGAGGCCTTAAGATTAAAGAAGAAAATGCTATTTGGTTTATCTTGAAATATTAGCACTCTTTACATATCCCATGCATTCTGGAATTTATCCTGTATCCCCAAATGACCTGAATATCATAAAAGTCTATTCCTCACTATGAAAAAAAACAGCATACTGGGAGTTTTGTATTTAGCATTTAAGTAAAATAAATGCTGGTGCTATAAATCAGGATGAATGGCAAATTTGGAATAAAGTTTCTAACTACAGATCATGGTGCATTATATCTGCTGAATAAATTAATAAACAAATGGAAGAATGGGGTTTCCAGCTTTATCATCTTTTGAAACCATACATTCCCAACATCAAAACTATGACATTTTCCCAACCTAAAAATATTTGTGTCTCAAGAACTTCAGCTTAAAGTTGTTTAACTACTGGGAAGTTACTATAGAAATGCCAGTGCATCCATTCATGCATTAAGTGTAACTGGGTCTCATGCATGGCCTCACATTGTATGTCCTTTAAATTAGGTTGCAAAGGACTGAACTTCAAGTCCTTATGTCATGCTATAAGTACAGGCAAGATCTACACACAGCTTGAATCACACACATCATTTTGACGAAAGGTGATTAGAGTATAGTTGGTAAAACACATTAACAATAATTTAGAACTACACATACACAAGGTGAAAGCAAATATTCAGAAACTGAAGAGAAGCTGCTCATGTCTGCAGCATCAACATTCCCATGGTGGTCAGTCTCTCCTTTCATCACGGCCAATTAACTAACGGAGGAGGAAAGATAGAAACTATGGGAAATGCAGACCATCTGCTCAATCCAGATGCAACAGCACATGACTCTTATAGCCAAAGCTTTTTACCACAAACGAACAGAAATAAGATCTAATCCTCTCACAGCATTTAATCCACCCCTCCAAAAAGATAGACATATTTGCATCACAAATAAAAATAACATTAAAATCATTAAATGAGACCTTTCAAATATCAGTCAATACTTTTAGAAACACACAGATCAAACAGAATACTAAGTCAGCATTAGAGAAAGTGGGGTTGGATTCCATTAGCTTTTTTTCTGTTTAAAAGCATGCTTAACACATCTTCATTCCTTAAACAGCAAGAACATTTTAGTTCAGTCATCCTAGTGTTAAAAAAAAACACCAGCAGATATTCCTTTAATATTGTGTATTTCAAATAATGTGCATTTTCTTTCTTATAAGAAAAGGTTAAAAAATATTCTTACCTTGAAATTGTGAACCTTTTCATATTTTGGAATTTGCTCGTTTTCTTTCAGAGTTGCTCTTCTAACAAGTGATGTCAACTGTGAATAAGCAAAGAGTTTCAGAGGTTGCCAGATTGTCACAGACGACTTTCGAGAACCCAGTTTCATTCCCAAGGCTGCTATCAATAAATCTTGCTGACGGCCCTCTTGTTTTGATTTGCGAGCTGCAGCTCTGTTAGTTTTCCTACCCGACCAAGACTCTTTGGATGGCATTTTTGGAATTCACAGGAAAGAAATAAAACCTATATTAATCTATGTCTGTCGATGAACTCTATTCAGCTAACAAATGAGCATTCTGCCAGCCAGCACAGAACCCTAACCTACAGAGAGCTGCAGAGAAACATCACAGAGAGGTGGAGGAGGATGATGAAGCACTTCTTAAAAAGAGGTCGACTAACCAGAAAAATTCTTCTTTCTTCTTTTTTTTTTTTTAAAGGGCTCTATATTTAAGCTTCTGAAAACTTGAGTCTGAACAGAGAGTCGATGCTAACATACGAAACATTGAGCATCTCTCTGTCCCTTTTTAAAAGCCATCCAATTTTGACAAATGGTACATTTCTAAAAGCTTTCTTCCCTACTGAATATATTAACGTCCATTCTGAATGAAAGATGCCTACATACTGCCTGCAATCAGTTTCTAGAAACAGATACTCTGTGCAACCCTTAACAGCGGGTGGGGGAGGGGAGGGATTTGACAAGGAAGGCTGGATTAGACTGGTCACCGTAAGAAAGGAGATAACCAATGAAAATCAAGCAACAGTATTTAAGTTTTGTATTCCTGAACTCACTCTGTTTCTCCCTCCTCTCATGTAAGATTTTCTTGCTTGCTCAACGAAAAAAAAAAAAAACCCACAGTGGGAAGACAATGAGCAATGACTGAGTCATGCCTCATTACAAAATGGAATATATTGTTACCTATTGAAAGCAAAAGAAAATTAACACGCAGCAAACAGGTTCTAAAAAGAATGCACCACTGGCAGATAAATGCTTTCCATATCCTTCTTTGTGCATACAGACTGAGGTTAGTTATCTAAAACCAAATTTTACTGAAGATGAGAAAAAGCTGACAAATATTTTGATAAAAAGGAGTTTAACTAGGTATCATACTATTTTCATGTAAAACAAGGAGCATGCATATAATATTGTTAGCACCCTGAAGTGGTGAGTTTTGTCTCCCTACTATGAGTACTTTTGTTGTTGGTCTACACTTAAATAGATCTAACCATATTTTTATCCTTAGTCTCAACATTCATTATTCAAAGAACTGAGGTCAGGTCACAATGGGATGTAGTGCAACTGGGCTTATAGGAAGAACCCTTGGGTGTTTGCTGATGTAGAACTGGGGGTGCTCATGGACTGGAAGAATTAATATTGTTAAAATGCCCATGCTACCCAAACAATCTATAGATTCAATGCAGTCCCTATCAAAATACCAATGGCATTTTTCACAAAACTAGAACAATTAATCCTAATATTTATATGGAACTACAAAAGACCATGAATAGCCAAAGCAATCTTGAGAAAAAAGAACAAAATTGGAGGTAACATGCTCCCTGATTTCAATCTATACTACAAAGCTATAGTAATCAAAGCAGTATGATACTGATACAAAAACAGACATATAGGTCAATGAAATGGAATAGAGAGTCTAGAAATAAACCCATGCTTATATGGTCAATTAATCTGTAACAAAGGAGGCAAGAATATACAATGGGGAAAAGACAGTCTCTTCAATAAATGGTGCTGGGAAAACTGAACAGATACATGCAAAAACAAAAAAAGAAATTAGGCCAGGGAAGAACCAAAATGGCAGCATAGGTAAACACCTGTACTTGCTGCCTCCCACAACCATATCAAAATTACAACTAAAATACAAAACAACTATCATCCAGAACCGCGGGAAAGCTGGCTGAGTGGAAGTACCACAACTAGAGAGATAAGGAAGAAAGTGCATTGAGACTGGTAGGAGGTGCAGAGGTGCGGAAAGGGCTGGCACCCGGGTGTACCGCTTTTTTAATTGGGAGGGAGATACCAGCTCCTGCTTGCTCTGAGCTCCAGTGCCGGGCGAGACTTTGGGGGACCCAGACACATACGGGGAGAAACTGGACTGTCTGGCATCGGGGCAGGAATGGAGGGGTGGCTTTCTTCCAGACAGAGGTGCGCGCAACAGTCATTGTTCTTGCGCTGGGACCTCTCCAGTGCAGGGCTGACTGGCAGCCATTGCTGTTTGCTCCACCCTGGAGATTCCTTGAGACCCCACCCTACCCAATTTACAACCCCACCCAAGCTGTGTGCAACAGCTTTTGCATGAATGGCCTATCCTTCCTTAGCCTAAAACCTGTCAAACTGCAGCTGGGTCAGGGAGCCCCAAAGCTATCTAAAGAAGGCCCAAGGCCAGCAGCCTGCCTTGCCTCACAGCTGGGCCTCGTCTGGGCACTTCCAAACCCCATACAAAGAGGAGGAATCTGCTGATCTTTCTGTAGCTCCTGCTGGGTGGCCCCAGACAGTGGCTGACTTTGCACCTCCTTGGAGATCCAAGAGCCAGTGTACCCAGTGGTCAGTGCGAGACCATACCAGATTATAACTCTTCACATCCATAAGTGACACATTCAAGGAGCAGACTCAGTGGGCACCAAAGCCCCACTGAAGCAAGTCCTGCCCCATAAAGGTGTCTCCTGCACAGCAGCTCTTCCACTGCATACGCAGCTGGTCCTCACAGCCAGTTGGCCTGGAGGTCAATTCCTCCCAGTGATACCAACAGCAATCAAGGCTCAACTACAACAAGACTGTGCACACAGCCCACAAAGGGGTACACCAAGAGTGTCCACCTCAGGTAATTGGGGAGGCTGAGCCACTGGACCCTATAGGACACCTACTACACAAGACCACTCTATCAACTCAAGGAAACTTAGCAGCTATCCAATACATAGAAACCAACACAGGGAAGCAGCCAAAATGCGGAGACAAAGAAACATGTCACAAATGAAAGAAATGGAAGAAAGCAAACTACTAGATATAGAGTTCAAAACCACAGTTATAAGGTTACTCAAGAATCTTCTAGAAACCTCCAAGAAACTTAGTGAGACCTTTAAGGATCTTAGTAAGAATGCCAAAAAAGAAAAAAAAAAAGGAAAAGGAACAGTCAGAAATTAAGCATACCCTGACTGAAATAAAGAATAATATACAGCGATTCAACAGTAGAGTAGAGCTTCCTAAGAATCAAGTCAAAGATTTGAAATACGAAGAAGCAATAAACACCCAACGGGAAAAGCAAAATGAAAAAAGAATCCGAAAATATGAAGATAGTGTAAGAAGCCTCTGGGACAACTTCAAGCGTACCAACATCCGAATTATGGGGGTGCCAGAAGAAGAGAGAGAGCAAGATATTGAAAACCTATTTGAAGAAATAATGACAGAAAACTTCCCCTACCTGGTGAAAGAAATAGACTTACAAGTCCAGGAAGCGCAGAGAACCCCAAACAAAAGGAATCCAAAGAGGACCACACCAAGACACATCATAATTAAAATGCCAAGAGCAAAAGACAAAGAGAGAATCCTAAAAGCAGCAAGAGAAAGAAAATCAGTTACCTACAAGGGAGTACCCATACGACTGTCAGCTGATTTCTCAACAGAAACTTTGCAGGCCAGAAGGGAGTGGCAAGAAATATTCAAAGTGATGAATACCAAGAACCTACAACCAAGAATACTTTATCCAGCAAAGCTATCATTCAGAATTGAAGGTCAGATAAAGAGCTTCACAGATAAGAAAAAGCTAAAGGAGTTCATCACCACCAAACCAGTATTATATGAAATGCTGAAAGGTATCCTTTAAGAGGAGGAAGAAGAAAAAGGTAAAGATACAAATTATGAACAACAAATACACATCTATCAACAAATGAATCTAAAGCTAAAAGAGTTCATCACCACCAAACCAGTATTATATGAAATGCTGAAGGGTATTCTTTAAGAAGAGGAAGAAGAAGAAAAAGGTAAAGATAAAAATTATGAACAACAAAGTGACAACAAATACATATCTATTAATAAGTGAATCTAAAAATCAAATGAAGAAAAAATCTGATGAACAGAATAAACTGGTGAATGTAAAAGAATCAGGGGCATGGAAATGGAGAGGACTGACAATTCTCGGGGGGAAGAGGGTGCGGGAAGAGATGGGACAAAGATCTTATATGCATGTATGCAATACCTATGGGCATGGACAGTAGGGTGCCGAGGGCCTGGGGAGGGGTGGGAACTCGGTGAAGGGGAGCTATGGGGGGAAAAAGAGGAACATCTGTAATAATCTGAACAATAAAGATTTTTTTAAAAAAGAAAGAAATTAGGCCATTATATACAAATATAAACTCAAAATGGATTAAAGATTTAAATGCAAGACCTGAAACCATAAAACTCCTATTAAAAAAACAAAACAAAAAACAAACAAACAAAATAGGCAACAAACTCTTTGACATTGGTCTTAGTGATATTTTTTAAATATATTTTATTGATTTCAGAGAGGAAGGGAGAGAGAGATAGAAACATCAATGATGAGAAAGAATCATTGATCGGCTGCCTCCTGCATGCTCCACACTGTGCATCAAGCCCACAACCCAGACATGTGCCCTTAACCGGAACCGAACCCGGGACCCTTCAGCCCACAGGCCAGCGCTCTATCCACTGAGCCAAACCACAGCAAGGGCAGTGATATTTTTTTAATGTCTCCTCAGGCCAAGGTGACAAAAACAAAAATAAATGATACTACATCTGACTAAAAAGCTATTATACAGTGAAAGAAACCATCAACAGGAAGAAAAGGCAACCTGCTGAATGGGAGAAGGTATTTGCAAATGATATCTCTGTTATGGGTGTAATATCCAAAATATATTTTAAAATCTATAAAACTCAATATAAAAATCTAATCAATTAAAATGGGCAGAGGACCTAAATAGACATTTCAAGACAAAAAGATGGCCAACAGACACATGAAAAGATGTTCAATAGGAAACAACAATCAACAGGAAAATGCAAATCAAAACCACAAT